CGCCTTCACTTAGGGCGGGCACGAGGCTTGCTGGGGCCTTAGCCCAGAACATGTACATCATGGCAAGGCCCCTTCTTGAGGGCTCAATCCTCACATTCCATCCCCCTTAGCTTCGAAAGTCCGCTGAGATGCTTACTTCGCAGGTGCCTTCCCTTTCAGCATCCTCTCATATTCTGCTACCACCCGAGGAGCTGTGTCAATCAGTTCCTCTCTGGTGAACCACTGGTCTTCTTTTGGATCCGTATGATGCCTGAATCTGACGCGATATTCTCTCTTGGGTTTAGGAGGTCTTCCTCTACCCAAAGGCTTCTGAACAGGCAGATCTTTGTGATCCACAATGTCGTCGATGTCCACTTGACCATCCATGGTTGGGGGCAGCATCGATTTCCTTGAAGGGAATTGATCAGTCTCAGCGAAAGGTGCAAGCTTTGAGGCATGAAAGACGGGGTGAGTGCGTAGGTGTCCAGGGATACGGATAACATAGGTAGGACCATCCATCTCATCCCCCACTACATCCAGGACTTCCCAAGGACCAAAGTACTGAGGCATGAGTTTTCTAGAGAAACCGAATTCCTGTCCTAGCTCACTAGCCTTGACCCAGACACGTTCCCCTACCTGAAATGAGGATTGTCGTCGATGCTTGTTCTCAGAAGCAATCATTGCTTGCTGAGCTTTCTTAATATGCTCGACAGCTTGCTGCAGCAACTTCTCATACTGCACACCATACTCAAGTGTGCCTGGAGTTGCAGAGGATCGGTTTTCAGGTAGGAAGTCTAGAGCAGATCTAGGCTTCCATCCCAAGTGCAGCTGGTTAGGACTAACGTCGGTACTGCTGTGTACAACGTTGTTGTACAAGCTGGCGATGAGAGGCAACTTCTCATCCCAATCATCCTGGCTGGGCTTGATGTAATGCCTCAGCAAGTGCTGTACAACTCTATTCATTTGCTCGGCCTGTCCGTTGGCTTCGGGATGATTCCCTGAAGTCATCTGAAGTTGACTGCCCATCTGCTCAGCAGTCTTCTTCCACAGCTCACTTGTGAAACGGACATCTCTGTCACTAACGATTGTCTTTGGTAAACCAAAGTCACGCACCCAGTTGTCTTGGAACAACTTGATGACATGGTCCGTCCTTGCGGTCTCTGGCATGGCAACTAGTCTAGCGTACTTGGTGAATCGATCAATGATGACGAAGATGTGCCTCTTGCCACTCTTGCTGGTCACCAAGGTATCCATGAAATCCATGGAAACATTCTGTCCTGGACCAGCGGGGATAGGTAAGGGCTTCAGCAACCCAAGCGGTGCTTGAGTTCGCGGCTTGTCCCGCTGACAGACCTGACAGGTCTCTACATACTTCTTCGCGTTATCTAGCATTCTAGGCCACCAAAATCGTTGTATTAGATTAACACTCGTCTTTTTGTAACCAAAGTGCCCGGTTGCGTCATGGCATTCTCCTAAAAACAAACTACGCAAACGTTCACTAGATGGAACTACTAGCCTTTTAACACCGGCCTTATCAAGATAGAGTAGCCCGTCCACCATCACAAACTCACTTTCCGTGGCCTTGTCTTTTGCCTGAAGTTTGCGCATGATGTCCATCGTGACAGGGTCTTCCTAATAGGCTCCCACCAATGATTGAGTTACTTCTTCAGATACACCAAAGTCAGAAACTAGCGCACCTAGGTAGTCTGCCCTACGTGATAGCGCGTCTGCAACCTTGTTGTACTCTCCCTTCAGATACTCAAGCTTGAAGTGCGTCAGAAAGAGCCGGTTGAGTCTTGATCCATTTGAGGGTCTGATGATCAGTCCTCAAGTAGAAAGAACCTTCCCAATAGGAAGTGTCTCCAATGGACAAGTGCCTTGTAGAGAGCATAGAGTTCCCTTTTGTAGGTGGACTTTGCCAATTTTTTCGATGACTTTTTCTTGCTCATGTACTCAATCGGTCTCAACTTATTCCCATCCTGCTGAGCCAGCACTGCGCCAATGCCATATTGGCTTGCGTCAGTGGTCACTATAAATGGCTTCTGAGGATCGGGAACCATGAGAACTTCATGATTCATGAGTGCATGCTTCAATCGCTTGAAAGCACCCTCGCACTCATCACTCCAGTCCCACAGCGTGTCAAGTCGAGTTAGATCCGTCAAAGGAGAGGCGAATGTAGAATAGTTCTTTACGAAGTTCCTATAGTAGCCGCACATTCCTAAGAAAGATCTGACCTCAGTGACAGTCTGAGGTCGTGGCCAGTCTCAAATACTAGCCACCTTCGCATCTTCCGGCCTAATCCCTTCCACGGATACTTCATGACCCACGTATAATATCTTAGTGCGACCAAACTCACACTTCTCTAGGTTGACCTTATACTTGTGCTGTCGCAGGAGTGAAAGTACAGCCTCAACGTGCTGTGCATGCTCCTCGGCAGACTTACTAAAGATCAGAATGTCGTCAAGGTAAACCACGACAAACTTATCTAAGTGGTCATGGAAGATCCGATTCATGGTGTGCTGGAATGTTCTCGGCGCATTGCAAAGACCAAAGGGCATCACTACAAACTCATACAGACCATATCGAGTCTGAAAAGCTATCTTGTGTTGGTCCTCAGGTCTTATAGCGATATGATGATAGCCGGATTTCAAGTCTATCTTGCTATAGTACTTGCATCCCTGCACCCTATCCAGTAGGTCGTCTATGCGAGGTAGAGGCTCTGCATTCTTCACGGTGATGGCATTGAGGCCTCTATAATCAACGCACATCCTTAACGTACCCCCCTTCTTCGGTACGAATAATATTGGAGATCCGTAAGGGGAAGTACTAGGCCGGATCCATCCCTTCTCTGTCAGCTCTTTGAGTTGTCGCCGAAGTTCATCTAACTCAGCGGGAGTCATCCTATAGATCCTTCCCTTTGGGGTTTTACTCCCTGGAATGATTTCTATAGCGTGGACAACTTCCCTTTCTACAACTCCTATAGGATCTTCGAACAGATCAGGGAACTTAGCAACGACGCGTTCTATCTCTGGGGGTGTTTTAACGGCCTCCCCTTTCTCAGAGGCATACACAAGGTACATACCCTCCTCTTGGTTCTGTTTGTAACACTTGTAGAACGCTGATGCGCACAAGCAGCCATAGGTATCTATTATGCTAATGGCTTTGAACTTAGTCAATCTGATTGTCCTGCCATCGGGCAACTTATGCTTTAGCACCTTCTTATCCTAGTCGAATTGGGGCTTAGCAGCCTCAAGGTAGTACATGCCTAACAACATGTCGAATGGTAAGTCGTCGCTAACCAAGAACGAAATCTTATGATTAAGTTCTCCTCCTCCATAGGAGAAGGTACAGACTACGTCCTTGATATAGTCTGTGACTATCATGCGCTCCTTGTTGGCCAAAGTAGATGCTACAGGTCTACTAAGGTGCCGTACCCGGTCCTGTAGGTGCAACCTTTCCAAACAGTCGCGACTTATGTAATTACACGTGGAGCCTATGTCTATGAAGGCACCACATTTGCGGCCTCCTACATCAACTTCCACCACGAAATGTTCCCCTCTAGGACCTTTCCTTAGTGCCACCCAAGATTCGCGAGGGTCCTTGTTCGACCACTCACTTTCCAGATCTTCTAAGGCTTCAGACACATCTAACGTACAGAGCATAGTTTGGTCTAGATGAGTCTGCGGGGTGAAAAAATAGTCATTAGCTATGGCCTTCTCATGAAGTGGGGAGGGTAGCAGACCCACTTCAACTTGAGTAGAAGCAGCTAAAACTTCCACCGGCCTCACATGTTTCCCGAGCTAGAAGCTTGGGAAGAAGATGCCCCCATCTTAGGAGGTATCTTCTGCGTGACCTTTGCGTTCTGGCACTTGTACTGGGTGTGTCCGTATTCACCACAGTTTATACAAGCGCCACGCACTCGGCGGTCCCGCCACACGTCTTGATCAAGACCTGCCTTAACCCAATCAACCACTTTGGTCTGATTGGAGGCGGCCTTCCCTTGACTCTTTAGATGGCCCTTCCCTCGACCACCCGCCTTAGCCTTGACTACTGCGGCGAGGGTGCTACCCTCAGCGATCTCCTCGCCGTCCGTCCAGCAGGTCTGTGAGCTCGTCAATTTCTGTTTGAGTCCCATCGGACTCAACCATCATTAACTTCGCCCCCTTCTTCTTCCATTCCTCCAGACTCTTCTTCTTCCTCGCATCATTCTGAGAGGGTTGAGCATTTCCTAGTGTAGCCTCTAAGTCTAAGGCTTTTCTAGACAATGTCTCAAACGAATGGTACTCGAGGCGAGCCTCGCTGGCCAGCAAGTTCCTGAGGTTCTCTGGAAGACATCTAACAAACGTAGTCAATAGAAACTGGTCACTGTAGTTGATGCCTGGAACGACGATGAGGCTCTCTATGGTAGTCGTAAGCTCTCTGACTGACTTAAACTTTCTTTGATCTAATCTGTTTATCGCATCAGTGGCTATTTGTGCCTGTTGAGGATTGTGCCAGCGAGCTTCTACCATCTCAAAGAACTGGTCTAACGTAATAGGCTGAGCCCAGTCCGCCATACGTCGTCCATACCCGACCTTTGCAACTATACCATCTAGCCATTTGGCTGCCTTACCCTCGAGGTAATATGCAGCAGTAACCACTTCGTCCTCTGGCAAGGTCCTCTTCGCGTTCACCCAAACCGGAACTGTTCTCAACCAAGTGTTTTCCTCTCGCCTGAGAAGGCAAGAGGCTGTTTTATTGGGGTCTTAGGGTACCATTGACCTTGCGGCTGTCCCTGTTGAGGAACAGGTTGTTGCGGTGGTGTAGCACCCACCGCTGGACCCGAAGAAGAAGAAGCAACAGTCTGTGCAGCTGCTGCAGACGTGCCACTTGGTTGTGTGCCAGCTTGTACGGGAAAGGGGCCTGACATCGCCGTTAACGACAACGACGACTGTGCTGCTGGTCTAAATCCTGGCCTTTGCAAAAGGTCCAAGATCTGATCTAGAGTGTGCTACATGAAGTCCAATCTGCTGTCCACGTGCGCATGCAACGACCACATATTGTGCTTCAACACTTTCAGTTGGTCAGTCATGACTGACTCATCCAACGCCTCTAGAGCAGCTTTGTCAGCCTCCAACGAATCAAGCCTGACTGTTCTATTTTTAATTTCCCTTTCTCTATCGGTTGCTTCCTTCAGTTCCCTTTCTAACTTCAGGCGGATCCTCTCGACCTGTTGGAGCTCTAGAAGCTCCCTGCCGCGTGGGATCAATGGGCTAAGCTGCGAGCCCGCCATTTGACTTGTGGACTGACTAGAACTTACCGCCCCGGAAGTACCCTGAGGCATTCCCAACAGGGTCCCATTGGTCCCTGACGAGGACGCAAACGAGGATGCAGATGATGACGCAGCAGAGCTTGTGTCGTTAGCCATTGCTACTGCTCTGGTTGCGGCTGCCTGCTCTCTAGCTGCTGCATTTGCTGCTGCTATCCCTGCTGCTAGCGCACGGGCTCTGCGTTCGGCACGAATCCATCGTTCGTCTTCCGGTTGTAAGGCCTGGTACACGTGCGGGACCCTAAGTGCTCCCGAACGTGTAAGTCTCACATTGTCAACTCTACCCTCATTGGTGTTTGATCCACTCGTCAGTTAGGCGGACAGTATCTGCACTACAACCCCCTGTTGGAGTCCTACCGCAGCATGTGTCTGACCGGCACCTAATTTTCTAAAAATAGTTGTGTCCGGTAGGTCCCCTACTTTACCGATCAAGTGGCAGCCTACAACATTCACAACAGATTGTCAACATAGTCCAAATGTATCTTGATTGGTTCTCTTACAGCAGCATTAGATAGAACTGGCTATGGTAGCATACTACAGTCCTACTCTAATCTGTCTGTGAGGTGTTAGCAGTCTGTCCACCAACTAATCAAGAATAACAAAAGACCATGTTCCAGATGTATGAATAGTGGGTATGGTTGTGTTTCCAGTTGAGCATCAATTAGAACCTACCCTTCCCCTCAATCCAACATACCGGTAAGCATCATTGAGCAGCGGTGTCTTCGTGTGTGTTTTCGGCCCACCCCTGTGCCCAAGTCATTGTCGAGCAAGCCAGCCAGTCCACTCTTATTTACCCTCGTACGGAACGAGCCTTACACCCGGTTGATCTGGCTGATCAGGAGGAATTATGAGAGCGCCCCCATCTCTTCAGGAATTATTTAACGTCGCAGTCAGGACGACGATCACAGCCAGAATCAATCCGAGTCCCCAACCAGAAATGTTTATAGACGGTCTGGTAAGCGTCTCATAAAAGGCTGGCACACCTGGCAGGACTTCTATTCAGCGCAGCAAGTGCCAAAATGGACAGCAGCCATCGCATGCGTGACCTACTCCCATTGGGTTAGCATGGTGACCGTGACCCAGTGCTTCGACCAGGGCCCTTCAGAGGCACCTCCCTTTCTCCTTCCAGATGCTTCCGGGAAGATTGTCGTCTCTCAATGTAGCGCGCTCACGACACCT